CACACTAGCCGGGACTCGAACCCGGGTCTCTCGCGTGCGAGGCGAGCATTCTACACTTGAACCACTAGTACTTTTCTTGCTGTAGAGATTAAAAGAGAATTGAATTGATACTTTAGTCATAATTTGCTTCACTTTTTTTGTCTATGTTTTGTTGTTCTCTTGCAATTACACTCTAATCATTGGAGTTTTTGGTGCTTATCAATAACATTGATATTATTGTAATGTAATCCGGTGTACATTATTGCTGTTACTCTTTTTTTTTTCTTTTTTTAATTGTTATTATCACTACCAGTGTTGATTACATGCATCCATACATACATCAGGGTTCTTGAAGGTATGATTGAGTTTGAGACCTTTGTAAGTCTTTTTAAAACTCATCCCAATCGCTTTTTAAGACCTGGAGCCACTGGCGAACAAAGATATGCCTTTGGCAAATTTAAGATGTTTTCAGACCTGCGAGAGAAAAAGCTCCGTTATTAAGACTTGTTAAGCGTTTAATTTCCTCAAAACATATATTAAAGAACATTTTAAGACTTTTTTAGCCCGACACTGTACATCCGCACAGCCCTTCCTCCTTGTCTCCAAGCTGGTTTGTGGAAGACTGTCTATTCCTCCAGCTTTTATAGCAATCATGTACAATTCATTCATGTGTCCTTATTCAGATTATCGATTATAATTGAAGTAATCATAATAATACGAAGCTTTGAAACCAATATTATTCTAACTTAACGATAAACATTGATAATAATAAAAAGTGAACAATACTTAATCACCTGTTAATTCTAACAAAGTTGTGTCCTAGAGTATTCCTTTTGCAACGTTGAACATAAGAAAAAATAAATAGATTTGTTTAGTGACATGCGCAATAATAATGAACGAGTGAACACTCTATTCATAAATCAGCGTACAAAAACACTTCTAGTATCACCCCAGCCGGGACTCGAACCGGGTCTCTTCGTACGAGGCGAGCATTCTACACTATACCTTAGTGTTTTCCTTACACGTATATTATTTAAGAAATTACATGATTCTATTAGTTATAATTCTCTTCAATTTCTATTTGTCCAACATATTGTTTTCTTGCAATTACGCTTTATGTTTATTGCAGTTTTGGTGTTCGTTATTTCTATTACTTGTTGTTTATCACTATTACTATCAGAACCAGTGTTTAATTATTTCTATTTATAGTTTACATGATATACATTGTTTAACTTTTTTCAACTACGCCTGAAAAACATTAGACACAATACTGAAAAATAGAAAAAAAGCTAAAATGTTGCAATGTTTCGTAATTAGATAGTTGTGTGGTTTATACTGATACTTTATATAGATTTTTAAAGAAATTAGAAATAGATGTCTAGAAATGGCTGTTTGATAACGTATATTTTATGGATGTATCATAAACCCCATTATTGCAACTGTCGGAAGATGTCTTTGTTTGTTTGTTTGTTTCTCCATGAAACGAAACTTTTATGAATTTTATGTATGATTTTTATCCATGATTTTTACTGGCCTTCGGATAGATTGCGCGCAGAATGATTATTTATTTATTCATTTTAAGTATTGTTATTTTAATTATCATTATTTGCACAACGGTCCATAAGTAAGCGGTCGCGTTGATCAACAAAGATCAAGGTCCAATGTTGACAATGATTTACGCGAACAAAAGATATGCCTTGGCCAAATTTAAGACGTTTTAAGACCTGCGGCAGAAAAAGATCCGTTATTGGGAGTTGTTAAGGCCTTATATTTTCCCAACACCACATATCTAAGACATTTTAACTCTCCCTAAGCCCTCCCTCCCTGTCTATCCATCCACAGGTGTATATGGAACAATGGTATTTCTTACCTGCCAATCACTGTGCAATATCAAGGGTTGTAGGTATTTTTAGTGCGCCTTTCGCAATATATATCCTTCATTTTCTCTTTATTTCTCTTTCTCTTTCTCTCTTTCTTTCTTTGATTGTTTGTCTTCCTGTGGCCCTGACTATATTTCTATTGATTCACGCAGATCAGTATTCATAATATCATTATCTTTATTATCACTTTCATCATTAATATTACTGTTATCCTTGCCATCATCATAATCATTATCATTATTTTTCATTGTTTATTATTTGTTATTATTATTGTTATCATTACCATTATTATTATCATTATCATTATTATTATTATTATTGTTATCATTATTATTACTCTTATTATTATCATTATCTTTATTACTATCAAATTCATTATTATCATTGTTGTTGTTGTTTTTGTTATTATAATTCTTATTATCATTGCTATTATCATCATTATCATTATTATTATAGTTTTTATTATTGTTATTGCTATCCTTATCTTTATCATTAACATCATCATTATTATCGTCATTATTATTATCTTTATCATTGTCATTATTATTATTATCATTATCATTATCAGCATTTTCTTATCATTATCATTACTATCGTTTTTGGTTTTATTATTGATGTCATTATCATTACCATTATTATTGCAGCATGTAACATCACTTTAGAAAAGATTCAAATGCCAGAAGCAGTAATTTCATCATTAAACTTCTGTCATAATTGTTTTATTAGGAATAATTCTACCGTAATTTTCCTTTTAGATAGTATCTTCAAAGGAAAACAACAACAAAATCTTTATATCAGGCTCATTATTCTTTACTTGAATATAAAAGAGAAAAGACGAATAGAATTGATAAAAAAAAATCATCCGGTCTTTGTCGTCCAATCAATAAGTATTCTTCGCTTGATTAGCAGTACTTCGCTCTCTCTCTCGTTCTCTCTCTCTCTCTTCTCTCTCTCTCTCTCTCTCTCTCCTCTCTCCTCTCTCTATCTCTCTCTCTCTCTCTCTCTATCTCTCTCTCTCTTTTCTCTTCTTCTCTCTCTCTCTCTCTTCTCTCTCTCTCTCTCTCCTCTCTCTCTCTCTCTCTCTCTCTCTCATCCTCTCTTCTCTCTCTCTCTCTCTCTCTCTCTCTCTCTCTCTCTCTCTCTCTCTCTCTCTCTCTCTCTCTCTCTCTTCCTTTCTCCCTCTCTCTCCCTCCCTCCCTCCCTCCTCCCCCCCCTCCCTTCCCTCGCTCCTCCCTCCCTCCCTCTCCCCTCCCTCCCTCCTCCCCCCCCTCCCGCCCTCCCTCCCAACCCCTCCCCTCCCCTTACCCCTAGGAAAACACGTACACACATCTGTCGTCTATTATTATATTGAGCTAATTCATCCGTCCATTCACCAATTCCTTTTAATTCTCTGTATCTTTTGTCTCAGTCACTCCCTTCCCCTCCCTCCCCTCCCCTCTCTCACTTAACATGCACCCTCCCACACTCTCTTATGAAACTGGGATCCCTTCTACATACCATAACAAGGTTAATGAGGGAAATTCGCAGCATCTGTCCATACCGAGGGATATGCAAGTATACTAGGGATATAGGAGGGGTGGTTTTGATGGTGTTTTATAGTGATAGGGATGGTGATGATGGTGGTGGTTTTGGTGGTGGGGATGAGTTGTAGGAATAATGGTGATTATGGGGTTGATGATACTAATTGATTAATATGAATAATGATTATTCTGGTGATATGAACAAAATAATGAAATGATAGAAATAATGAAATGATGAATTAAAATAATGAAAGAAATAATGATAAAAATAATGATGATGATGAGGGTATCATTGTCATCATCATGATCATTACGATTATGGTAGTAGGATATCATTGCAACATCAACATCAGTGATAATGATAATGATGATAATAATAATGATGATAATGATTTATGATAATCAGAATGATTTATGGTAATAACGATAATGATAATGCAAATTGTACTGAAGTCGATAATGATAAGAAAAGTGATAATAATATTAACAATATTAATAGTAATCATAATAACTGATATTAACAATAATGTAATAATGATAACGATGGTAATGATACAAGTGTTGATGATAACAACAAAAATAATAATAATAATCATATTGATAATAATGATATCAATAATAACAAAAAAGATAAAAAAGTGTTAGTAACAAACGATAAATAGTTGTAGTAGTAGTTGTAATGATTATGATTATAATGGTAATAATGATAACAGTCTATCTGATGATAATGATAATAAGGATAATAATCATGATGATAATGATAATTAGGATAATGATCATGATGATAATGATGATGGTTAGGGTAGGTTACAAAGAGTTAGACAGATACACAGACTGAGAGACAATTTGATGAATAGAACGAGACCTGCATATACCGATTGATATATAAATATAATTACCCCTTCCAGTCTGCGTGGATGAAAGAGCAGCGCCCAGTACCGAACAGAAATAGGAGATGGCGTCATTTTCCAAGAGAAATCCGAACTTGAAATTTTCTGGACAAAACTTGTCAAATTAAACTTTTGTTCCAAACTTCGAAATATGGTTACTGATTCCGCGTCTTTACATCGGTGCTACTTTCTTGGACTTTTTTTTTTTTTTTTGGTAAAAATTATGTATATATATATATATATATATATATATATTATATATATATATATATATATATATATATATATATATATATATATATATATATATATATATATATATATATATATATATATATTATATATATATATTATATATACATACACACACACACACACACACACACACACACACACACACACACACACACACACACAACATATATATAATATATATATATATATATATATATATATATATATATATATATTATATATATATATATATTTATATATTATATATGTATACATATATATATATATATATATATATTGTATATATATATATATATATATATATATATATACTATATATATATATATATATATATATATATATATATATATATATATATATATATATATATAGTCCTCAGTTTTACCACGTCCCTTTTTCCCCTCATATTTTTTCAAACCTAATCCCCATAAAATATAAGCTGCTTAATCGGCATTACAAAAATTTCATTAAATATTTACGTACTATATTAATTTCCCTCTCTCTTCTCTCTCCGTCTCTCTCTCTCTCTCATACTCT